CTACAGAGCAAGTAATGCCAGGACTGTTGCACAGAGAAATCTTGTCTCAAAAAACAAAAAGTAATAGTAATAACATTTTTTATGTGTGTTTGCATGAAACACAGTGTGATGGTGGAAGTCAGAGGACAACCTGCAAAAGTCAGCTTTCTGCCTTATGGGTCCAGGAATCACACTCAGGCCTCAGGCTCCATAGCAAGTGGCTTTACCTGCTGTGCCATTTTGCTGCCCCTCACCAAAGAAAACTTAGAGCAGAAAGTCATTATAATATAGTTTAATACAGAAATAATAACAGCCCCAAGTAGGAGACTGTAGGGAAGGCAAGAAAAGGAGCTAGCTGCAAGATTTTTTTTTAAATATTTATTTATTTATTATGTGTACAGCATTCCTTCCATGTGTGCCTGCAAGCCAGAAGGGGGCACCAAGTCTCATTATAGATGGCTGTGAGCCACCATGTGGTTGCTGGGAATTGAACTCAGGACCTCTGGAAGAGCAGTCAGTGCTCTTAACCACTGAGCCATCTCTCCAGCCCTAGCTGCAAGATTTTAAGGCTGTAGATTAAAATCATCTGATATCATCTAGTTGCGCCCTGACTGCTAACTACTACATAAGAAAGAGGTCAGTGTTGTTTCCATAGAATCAAGAGGAAGGTGGGCAGAGGCATAAAAGATTATAGACTATGGGAAGGGGTTTGTTTCATCATTAGTGTGTGTGTGTGTGTGTGTGTGTGACAGAAGACAACTTGAAGAGCTGGTTCTCTTTCTAATATGCGGGTCCCAGGGAACTGAAGTGAACGCAAGACCTTGGGGTTGGCAAGAACGCTTTACCTCTGAGCTACCCCACCACCCCCAGTCTTGTTCTTTTTGTCCTATTTGGGTTTTTCTGAGGCAAGGTCTCACTATCTAGTCCTGATTGGGCTAGTTACTGTATAGTCCTGGTGGCCCGGAACTCTCAGAGATCTGCCTGCCTCTGCTTCCTGAGTCCTGGGTGAAAGGTGTGTGCCATTTCACCTGGCTGTGTTTAAGACAGATTCTCAGGTAGGCCAGGCTGGCTGCCAACTTGCGATAGAGTTTAGGATAAGCTTGAACTCCTCATCTTTCTTCCTTGTCCCAAGTTCTGGAAGTATAGCGTCTCACCACCAAGCTCCAGGTTCGAGATGTTTTGAGTTTGAGATACCAATGGGACAGACTGAAGAGACCTGGTGGAAGGTGAACTGTTTGGGTGAAGGTTTGTGAAGGGATCCGTGAAGGGACCCATGCGGAATGAGTGGGTGACAGGACCGCTCCATGCGGCAGGGCACAAGGCAAGCCCTAGGCTGGGTCCGTGTCCTGTAGGAGGCTGCATGAGGAAGCCAATGGATGGGCATCTCTAAATGGTGCTTTTCCCAGCAGAAAACCAGGTACTGCTGCCTGGGAGTGGACACAGGAGGAGGTCTGAGGAGGATGCCTGGGAACTGCCAACTTTAATTTTGTCCTTTAGTATTAATCTGTTTATTCAAATGGGAGAGAGGATACATTGCATGAGTAATCATGCTAAAATTATGACTTAAAAAAGTCTTGCATGGGGGTGTAGCTCAGCTGGTGGAGAGCTTACCTAGCACGCATGAAGTCGAACCCCTGAACAACAGAAACCAAGCACGGCACACCTGGAAGCCCAGCTCGGGGTGGTGATGACCAGAGGTTCAAGGTCATTCTCTCGGTGAGTTAGAGGCTAGCCTGGCTTAAAAGAATCCCAGTCTCAAAAACAAAACCAAACCTTGAGTCGTGACTGTCTGCATAAGACCTTCAAAAGACTGGATTCATCAGTGTTTTGGTCGTGGATGGGGAGGGACTCAAAGACCCTGCCCCTCCCTGAGGATCCATGGCTGCTGGGGTGAGCCAGAGGCATCTTCAGTGGTACATACAGTGACTGGTAAGTTCTCCATGCTTCTGAAAGCAGCCATTATGAACCTCATTGTGTCGTATGCATTAAAAACCACGCAGAAACACGAAAAAAAAATCAGAGATGACGACAACAACACAAAATCCAACATGAAAGTAGAAAGGCGTGGTTAATGGTTTTAGTTCAGAAGGAAGAATCAGAGGGAGCAGGAGGAGGACGAGAGAGGGGAAGGGGAAGGAATATGGCCGAAATAAATACTATGAGCCTGCAAGATGGCTCAGCGGGACCTGAGTTCAAGCCCCAGGATCCATGTGGTGGAAGGAGAGCACTGACTCCTGCCAAATTGCCCTCTGACCTTCCCGTGTGCACAGTGGTACCCATGCTCCCCCCACAAGTAAAGAAATCATAAATATAAAAACATGACAAACATATAAAAATGTTACGATGAAACCCATTATTATGTGATTACGGGTAAATGATATATGCTAACAGTAAACACTGATCAAAAGGCCTGATAATTGGGTGAAACGGGGTATGCTTGGAACCATTAGAGAATGAGATTCAGAAGGCAATGAATGATGTGATCAGAGGCACAGAGGTGAAGTCGGCGGAGCTGGGGAGACTGAGGCAGCAACACCTGTGAGTCTGAGGCAACGTAGCTAAATTTTGCCCTGACCAAGGAAGAACTTTTGTTTGTTTGTTCGTTTTCAAGACAGGGTTTCTCTGTAGCTTTGGAGCCTTTCCTGCAAGGCTGGCCTCAAACTTAGATCCACCTGCCTCTGCCTCCCACATGCTGGGATTAAAGGTGTGCGCCACTACCGCCCAGCAAGAGCCCTTTTCTTTACTTTTCCTTGTTTGCTTTCATTTCTCCTCTCCTCTCTCTCTCCCTGCCCCCCACCTCCATAGTCCTGCTTGGCTTCAAACTCACAAGGATCTACCTATTTCTCCACCCCAGCGCTGGGATTCTGATTTCCATGAACATTAAGTGTCAAATCCTCATCTTTTTATCCCTATTATTTTATTTTACATGTATGTATGTTTTGCCTGTGTGTGCCCCACATGTGTGCAATGCCCATGGAGACCAGAAGAAGGGGTCATATCCCCTGGGATTGGAGTTACAGACTTTTGTGACTTTACCCACAATGTGGGTACTGGGACTCAAACCCTGGTTCCCTGGAAGAGCTGTCGGTACTCCTAACTTCGAGCCGTCTCTCCAGCCATTAAGTTTAAATTTATTATTGCTATTATTGATTTTTTTTTTTACTTGTGCAGGGGTTAGGGTTGTGTGCATGTGCCTTCAGAGTCCAGAAGACGAGGCTGGACTCCCTTTGAACTGGAGTCACAAGCAGTTGGGAGCCATCCCATGAGGATGCTGGGACTCCACTCAGATCTTCTGCAAGAGCAGCCTGGTTTTTGTTTGTTTTTAACCTTTGTGGCATGTGTCACCACTACTCTGCAAGCATCTGTCTAGACCTCTTTAACTTTTATTTGAAATTATGCACATGGGGGGTATGTATACAGGGTTGCATGTGTCTGTCTCTCTGGAGTTACAGGCAGTTATGAGCCCTTAAGGTCAAAGCCGTGAATCAGAACAGGAAGCTCTTAATTGCTGAGTCACCTCTGCAGCCCCAATACACACACAGACACAGACACACACACGTCCTTTAATGTAATTTTACTTATTTGCTTATTGTGATGGGGTCTTGCTATTCAGCTCAGACTGACCTGCAAAGACTGTATGTAGCCCATGCTAGCCACGAACTCACTCAGAATTCTCCAGCTTTAGAAGTCTGACTTGTATAAGCCTCATGTATGTATGTATGTATACACATACAAGAAACTTTTACATCATCCTTCCACTTTTTTTTTTAAAGATTTCTTTATTTTTATTATGTATACAACATTCTGCCTCCATGTATGCCCGCACGCCAGAGGAGGGCGCCAGATCTCAGTACCGATGGTTGTGAACCACCATGTGGTTGCTGGGAATTGAACTCAGGACCTCTGGAAGAGCAGCCAGTGCTCTTAGCCTCTGAGCCATCTCTCCAGCCCCCTCCACTTACTATTTTAAAAAGATTTAGTTTTTGGGGCTGGAGAGATGGCTCAGTAGTTAAGAGCATTGCCTGTTCTTCCAAAGGTCCTGAGTTCAATTCCCAGCAACCACATGGTGGCTCACAACCATCTGTAAAGAGGTCTGGTGCCCTCTTCTGGCCTGCAGGCATGCACACAGACAGAATATTGTATGCATAATAAATAAATAAATATTAAAAAAAGATTTATTTTTAAATTGTGTATGTGTGCGTGCATGGTGGGGGTGTAATGCGCGCTTGGGCAAGAGAAGTGGGAACTCCTGGAGCTGCAGTTACAGGCAGTTTCGCGCTACCTGATGTGGGAGCTGGGAATTGAACCTGGGTCCTCCCAAAGCGGAGTACACGTTCTCAACCCCTGAGCCAGCCTTGCAGCTTTTCTTCCACAGATTTTTAAAGAAACTTCTACATTAACCTTCCCTGTAAGTCTTTTAGAGACAGGCCGACTGTCAATCTCCGTTTCGCAGCCACACCGGCTGGGGTCCCAGGCGCCCTAATAGGAAACCTCTGTTTGGGCAGGGCCCGAGTTACTTCCCGCCCAGCACAACTCCACCCGCGGCTCCCCGGGCGTGGCCGAGCGCGGCCCCTTTAAGAGGGGGGCGGAGCGCGAGTGGAAAGACAAAGCCCCTGGCCGCGCGCTCCCCCTCCCCCCTTCGGCGCACCACACGGACAGTGGGTGCCCGGATGTCGGTGTCGCCGTGGGTGACAGATGGTGCAATGTCTGTGTCTGTGTGACAGGGCTGTCTGCTCTGTCCTCGTTGAGTCCTCCACCTTCCGTCCTCCCCGCTTCCTCCCCGTCCCTTTACTTTTTAAGTCCGCCACCGGAGGCCCGCACGCCAGCCCCCGGCTCTTACATAACGTGACCTTTCACCTTTTCAGACTGCCCTCTAGTGCGCTGCAACCAAACTACGTGGCTGGGGCCCAAGGGGCGGGACTGGAGCGCGGAGCGACAGCCGCTCTGAGCCAATAGACTACGAACGCCGCTCAGCCCTCCGCCTATCGAAGCATCCGTCCCAGGGCGCCACGGAGGAGCAAGTTAGTCTGTGCGCTGGCCCGGCAGCGGGGGGGTAGGAAGGGAATCTCCCGCCATTTTTCAATAATTTCCTCCGGTGCCCGCTGGAGAGGAGTCGTGACTAGCGGCGGCGGCGGCGGAGATCGGCGGGAGGCGAAAGGCGCCGGAAGGAGCGAGGAGGATATCTCGGTTTCTTCCCCCTCGCGGCTTTCCCCTCGCTTCCATGGCCGTGGCGCGGTCCCGCCAGCTCTGAGGGAAGCCGGAGTTCGCGCCGCCCTCTCACCCCTCCCCTCCCCCACCGCCCCGGGAGCCAGGCGCTTCGCTCGCTCGTTCGCTCGGAGCCGCCGGGGCCTAGCTCTGCGCGGCCGAGCGGCCGAGCCTCCGGCGCTCCGTGCCCGCCGCTGCCGCGATGGCGCCGCTGCTGGGCCGCAAGCCCTTCCCGCTGGTGAAGCCGCTGCCGGGAGAGGAGCCGCTCTTCACCATCCCGCACACTCAGGAGGCCTTCCGCACCCGGGAGTATCCTTTTTCCGTGCACGCTGTGGACGCCCGGCCGCGGCTGCGCAGGGCGAGGGATGGAGATGGCGAGATGCGGATGGGCCGCGCGCCGCTCGCGGGGCAGCTGTCACCGCACCGGGCCATCCGCGGGCCGCGGTGTCCGGGGCCCTGCATGGCCGGGCTGGGATCTCCCCGGCGGAATCCATCCGGCCGGCCGTCTCCAGCCGTCCTTCCCGGAACCGCGCGCCTCCATCCTTTCCCCCTTACTTTGTCCCCGGGGCCTCGGTGACGATCGCAGTACCAATTCCCTCCTCCCCAACTTGGCTTCGGGCCCTAAGTGACTAGGGGAGGGACGCCGGGTTTCCGATGCGCATTTTCTTTCTCTCCCTTCGTATAAATGAAACCGTCAAGTTAAGTTTTTGAAATTGTACCGGCGCGGTCGCGTGATCCGGCTTGTGCAAGCTTCCGCTGCGTCTTGTGTGGGCAGTGCGGGGACATTGATGTGAGTTGTGGGTTTTGTTTTTCTCCTCCGGAGTGGACTTTAGGCCAGGGATGAACTGACAGAACCGTGGACCACAAAACGCGGCATTAACTTCTCCCCCACTGTAGGTGGGAGGGGGCAGAAAGGTACCTTGATGGTTCTGGTGGCCTTTTCTTCCCCAGGGAACAAACAGGTTTGAAATTTAGAAGCTTCATTTTTCTTTCTTTTTCGAAAGAGTGCTTTGTGTTTATCAGGCTGGTCTTGAACTCTGCAGTCGAGGCTGGATTTGAATTTCTGATCCTCCTGCTTCTCCCTCCCCAGATGGCTTGCTTTCTTTCCTTTTTTATTTTATTTTATCTATTTGCTTATTTGTTTATTTTTTGAGACAAAAATCTTGCTGTGTTGTTCAGGCTGTCTTTGCATAGCCTCTACCAATCCTGCTTGAACTTAGTCAACCTTCCAAGCCTGTGCCACCATTCAATACAGTTAGAAGCAGGTAAACTTTTGCGACATCCTTAACGTTTTCTGTTTTAGGACCGTGAACCTGGTGTTTTAAAATAGCCTCTGCATTTCTGACCATTGCTTTAAGATTTCTGGACCAACCATACCACTTGGTTAAAAGTTGTATCACTTTTTTGCACAGTGGGGGAAATGTTGGATGAATCTTTTAGGTCTTATTTGGGCTTTTTGTGTGTTCGTTTTGTTTTTTTGAGACAGGGTTTCTAGCCCTGACTGTCCTGGAACTCGATTTGTAGACCAGGCTGGCCTCATAGCCACCTGCCTCTACCTCCTGAGTACTGGGATTAAAGGTATGGGCTACCACTGCCTGTCCACTTAGTTTGAAAAAAGATAGATTTCCGTATCAAACTTGCATAAAAAATACTTTTATCATCCCTTTTCCTTTGAAAAGACTAGATTTTGTTTTAATTCCTGCTGTACCTGTAGATCAGAAAGGGCAATTTACTCTTGGCCTTTGCTTCAGACATTTTTTTTTAATTGTATCCCAGGATGACTTCTAACTTATGTTTTGGAAGCTGGCCTTTACTGCCTAGTCCCCCTGCCTCAACCTCCAAAGTGTTGGGATTGCAGATGTCTACCTGCTCAGCTTGATCTTGGCTTTAATATAGTGTTTTGAATAATTAGGATAATTTCCCTTCCCTTCCTCTCATCATTGGGGGCTTGAACCTAGGGCCTTGTACTATTAGTAAACTATATCTTTAGCCCTCTTTCTTTATTTTGAGTAAGGGCATTACCAGAATTGCTGACGTTGGCTCTGAACTCACCATGTGGCTTAGGCAGGCCTTGGACTTTTGGTTCTCCTGCTTCAGCCTTCCCAGTAGCTGGACTTAACAGGCCTTTACTCCAGCACCAGCTAGGGCAGGTTCAGTTTTGTTAGTATCAGTTCTGAATTCCAGTGTTCACCTACAGAGAGTCTTAGAAAAGCACCGCCCCTTTTAGTTTTATCTATATGGTGTTTTGCCTGTATCTGTGTCTATATACCGCTTGTATTCCTGGTTCCTCTGGAGGCCAGATGACAACTTTGGATCCCCTGGAACTGGGGTTAAAGAGCTACCGTGTAGATGCTGGGAATTGAACCCAGGTACTCTGCACTTAACTTCACTGTTGACTCTAGCCCGTGTTTTTTTTGTTTGTTTGTTTGTTTTGTTTTGTTTTTTCTTTTTTTGATAGGGTCTCACTTTGTAGATCTTTCAAGCCTGGAAGTCATTTTGTAGACCATACTGACCTGAAACTCACATAGATCTGCCTGTCTCCACCTCCTAAGTGTTGGGATTAAAGGCGTGCGCTACCATGCCTGGCATTCATGTAGGTAGGTAATTTTGATCATGTGTCTATAGCATCTCTGAGCTGAAATGAGTCTTAAGGGGTCTAGATCCTGTCTGCTTGCCTAGTGGGCTCAAGAGAATTGAAGTTGGTGTGTTAAAGATCATACACCCTGGTTATAATGATGAGAGTTGAGATCACAAACCAGTGCTTTCAGCCATATCACTGTAAATAAACCAAGGGAAGAACAGGGAATTGTGGAACCAGGGCCTTGCATGTGCTGCTGTACTACTGAGCTGCAGTGTCTGTGATATAACCCATGTTGCCCTTGAGTGCTTTAATCCTCAACCTCCCTTGTGAGGGATTTCTGGGTGTTAGGATCATAGTCTTGTGTCATCATACTTCACCTTCTTTTATTTTAATGGAATTAATTTTTTAAAGATTTATGTATTTTATGTGTATGAGTGTTTTGTCTACATGGATGTATATGCACCTCATGTTGTGTTTATAGATGATTGTCACCATGTATTAGTAAGTGCTCTTAACTGCTGAGCCATCTCTCCCACAACTCCCCCCCATTTATTGAAATATTAGTCTACACTGTCATTTTGATATAAGTTGTAGGTAGATGATATAAGGTGTATTTAGCTCTACTAATTACATTATTTCTGCTAATTATATACTTGCTTTTTTTTTTTTTTTAAGCAGTTTCCATGCTTTCACTAGAGTAAAAGTTTACTTCTGGGAATCTAACATAGTCTCTCTATGTCATTCATTCTTCTCTTTATTTGTTTTATTGAGTCAGAGTTCTTACTATGTAGCACTGGTTGGCCTGGAACTCATATATAGTCCTGGCTGTCCTTAAACTCAGAGATTTGCCTGCCTTGGCTTCCTTAAAATTGTATTGTACTACACCCAGCTATTGATTGTTTGTGAACTGTTGATGGTAACACTAATATTATTAGAGGTGGATTTTGTTCTAGTAAGTATACTAAATACTTCATAAAAGATAAATTCCAACTCTTAACAGGTATACTGAGCTGTTTGAAAAATGACCATAGCCAGTTAATTTAAAACTATTAACAAAGGCTTTGTTTATTATTTATTGTCTGGGGAAGATAGGGTGTGTGGTCATATGTATGCCATGGTTTACATTGTGAAGCATGCTAGGCAGGCACCATCAACCATCATAGTACTATTTCCCTAGCCCTTCAGACTTAACGAAAACTGAAACCTGAATTATTTAAAATAGTATGTATTTAATAAACATTCTTTCTTTTAGGATTTCCTATACCAGTATTTAGAACTTTTTAACAGGAGTTCTTTAAAAAGGATTATATTAGAGGAAATTATTCTCCTGGAAATTTCCAGTAGTGGGAGCATGTTGAGGGTGGTTTAGAGTGCTCTGGACTGTGTGGCTGGCTGGTCGGCATGTTTCTTTATGAGGCTATTAGTGGTTCCATGGAGGAGAGCAGATGTATGGTTGAGCAACAGCTGTATTTGAAATATTACCAGTCCTCAATTTATATTTATGGTTATGTTTTTAACAAGATTAATTTTCTTTTTATTTTGATTGCATGAATTATTATAGCAACTTTTTCTATTTTAACTTTAAGCAGTGAGTCAGTGAGTTCTTGAAGGTACTTTGTACTCCTTGAATTTACAGTATTCTGAAATTGAGGCAGGAGAAAAAGGAGTTTTAGACCAGCCTAAAGTACAAGGAGACCCTGTCTCAAAAACAAAAGGGGCTGGAGAGATGGCCTAGTGTTAAGAGCTCTTATTACTGGAGAACCTCAGATTGCGGACTCACAACCCTGGTGGTAAATCCCACTCTGAGGGAATATAATGCCCCCTTCTGGCTTGTGTAGGTACTACAGCACATACAATGCATAGCATGCTTTCATTCACACATTCTCACACCCACACGCACATTTTTTTTTTAATTTTAAAAAAAGAAAACTGGAATTTGTTTTATGTCTGAGTGTTTACCTGCATGAATGAATTACACTAAGTGTGTGCATGGTACCCATGGAGATCCGAAGAAAGGATGGGATCCCTGTGACTGTAGTTACTGGCAGTTGCGAGTTGCCATGTGGGTGCTAGGAATTGAACTTGGGTCCTCTGGAAAGGAGTCAGTGCTCTTACTTGAGTCATTTCTCCAGCCCTGTTTGTTGATTTTGAGATAGGGTCTCACTATGCAGCCGTAGCTGTCCTGGGATTTTTAATGTGGACCAGGCTGGCCTCAAACTCACAGAGATCCGTCTGCCTCTGCCTCCTGAGTGCTGGGACTAAAAGCATGCACCGTCATGCCCAGCCATCCAGCCCTATTTTGCTTTTTGAGTTGTAGTCTGGCTTAATGAAATACAGACTGGCTCTTACTTGGTTTTGAGACAGCTATGTATGTCTTATTTAGCTCTGGCTGGCCTGGAACTTTAGGCAGTCCCTCTAGCCCTAGCCTCCTGACTGGGGGGACTGCAGGTGTCCATCATTATACCCAGCTAACAGTTTTTGATGTCATTTGGCCATAGATGGCCTATTAAGTAAAACTGGGTTTTACTCGTGAACTGGAGCTACCAACAACCTAATATAGATTCATATTTTTGTTGTGTGCATCAGTTGTCATAGTTTCTGAATTTTAGAAACAACTGTTTTAGGAGTTTTATCGTATTTGTGCAGTATATATGACTCTAGAACAGTCTGAGTAGAGCATGCTTGAAGAGTTAGGTAACTGTAAATGGAATTAGGTTATAGTTTTGAACATTTTTTTTTTTTTCGTTTTGGTTTGGTTCTTTGAGATAGGGTTTCTCTGTGTAACAGCACTGGCAATCCTGAAGTTCACTTTGTAGACCAGGCTGGCCTCGAGCTCATAGAGGTCAGCCTGCCTCTGCCTCCCCAGTGCTGGGATTAAATACATGCACCACCACACCTGGCTATGAATAAATCTTTAAAAATTAAAAATAAGGGGGCTGGAGAGATGGCTCAGAGGTTAAGAGCACTGACTGCTCTTCCAAAGGTCCTGAGTTCAATTCCCAGCAACCACATGGTGGCTCACAACCATCTATAATGAGATCTGGTGCCCTCTTCTGGCATGTGAGCATACATGGAAGGAATGTTGTGTACATAATAAATAAATAAATCTTTAAAAATAATTGTTTTATGAGTATTTTGCCTGCATACATGTCTGTATACCATGTGTATGCCTGGTACCCTCAGAGGCCAGAAGAGGGATATAGATCTGGAAACTGGAGTTTCGGATGTTTGTGAGCCACCATGTAGGTGTTGGGAATAAAACCCAGGTCCTCTAGAAGAACAGCCTGTCCTCTTAATCAACAAGCCATTTCTTCAGTTCCCAAAGTTGTAGTTTTGATGGGTTTATTTTTCTGGTTAATTATAGCCCATGCTGATTTCAAAGTTTGTGTGTAGCATGGGCTGGCTTTGAACTTGGGGCAGTCTTCTGCCTCTACCTCCCAAGTATTGAGATTAAAAATATATGATAATGCCCAGTTAATTCACTATAATAGATTATGCCAGATTCGAGTTGTTAATTGATTGACAGTTTGATCCAAAGAGAGAAAAGATAGAATTAAAAGGCAAATCTGAGAGTTTGCTTTATTAGTATTAGGACTGTACTTGCATGTGTTTGTGACAGGCTCCAGCCTTTAGAATGCTGGAATTGTAAGAGTGTACCACCATGTTCATCTTTAGTTACATGGGTTTCTTATTTGTTTGTTTGTTTGTTTTTAAATATTTATTTATTATGTGTACAATATTCTGTCTGTGTATATGCCTGCAGGCCAGAAGAGGGTACCAGACCTCATTACAGATGGTTGTGAGCCACCATGTGGTTGCTGGGAATTGAACTCAGGACCTCTGGAAGAGCAGGCAATGCTCTTAACCTCTGAGCCATCTCTCCAGCCCCTATTTGTTTGTTTTTAAATTTATGTGTATGGGTGTTTTTCCTGCTTGTGTATATTGTCTATGTACTGCCTGCATATATTGTGTCTGGTGGTCAGAAGAGAGTGTCTGGTCTCTGGAACTCTACATATGGTTGTGAATTTAGATTCTGGGAGCTGAACCTAGATCTTCAAAAGCAGCAAGTGCCCTTAACTACAGAGCCATCTATCCAGCCCCTTTAGTTATGCTAGTTAAACCTTCATATGTTGTTGGGCCGAAGCATTGTGTCAGTGTTCTGTTGCTGTGAAGAGACACCATGACTACAGCAACTCTTACATCAGAAAACATTTAATTGGGGCTTGCTTATAGTTTTAGAGGTTTAGTCCTTTATTGTCATGGTGGGGAGGATGGTAGGAACATAGAGAGATGGTCAGAGTCACTGAGAGTTCCACATCTAGATCCACAGGCAGCAGGAAGAGCCAGGCACTGGAACTAACTTGGGGTTTTGAAACCCCAAAGCCCACGCCCAATGACACTTTCTCCAGCAAGGTCACACTTTCTAATCCTTCTGAAGTAGTGCCACTTCCTAATGACTAAGCATTCTTATTTAAACCACCACAGCCAGGTCCTTTTGAAAGAAATAAACATTACTTGGCTAAAGAGAATAAAGCAGCATATTGTGGTAAGAATAGTTCTTGGGGTCCTGAAAAGTAAATGCATAATGACATAGTCTAGAATTTGAAAATGCCTTATCAGTTATAGATTGCTTAACCTTTTGAGAATTGCTTTGACATTTTGTCTCAATTACATGTACAGCAGTTGCTGAAACAAAAACCTCAATTGACATTTTCTCTGAGTGGTTACTTGGGAGTGAGTGACTTTTGGTAACCTAAAATCAGAAATAGAATTTAGAGCCTATTGATTCAACTATCTTTTAACAGTTATTCTCTCTTCCCCTTTCAGTTTTGTTTTTGTTTTGTTAAGATTTATTTATTATGTATACAGATGTGTGTCTGCAGGCCAGAAGAGGTGTATTAGATCTCATTACAGATGGTTGTGAATTACCATGTGGGTGCTAGGAAATGAACTCAGGTCCTCTGGAAGAGAAGCTAATGCTCTTAACCTCTGAGCGATCTCTCCAGCCCTTGTTTTTATTCTTTTTGAGACAGGGTTTTATGTGGCCCAAGTTTGTCTCAAACTCTTTGTGGAGATGACCTGGAACTCCTGATCTCCCTGCCCCTTCCTCCTAGGTGCTGGGATTACAGGCGAGTGACACTACTGGCTTTAAATACTTTGAGTGAGGATAAAGCATGTTGCTTGGAATATACTGGGATTGGCAGCTAACTCTAGTTGCAGCTCAGTTTATTTTCTTAACTTTTAATTTTATTTTATGTGTATCAGTCTGTGAAGGTATCAGATCTTACAGTTACAGACAGTTGTTAGCTGCCATGTGGGTGCTGGGAATTGAACCCAGGTCCTCTAGAAGAGCAGTCAGTACTCTTAACCACTGAGCCATCTCTCCAGCCCTCAGTTTATTTTCTTGTATAGCATCTGTTACTATTGGTGCACAGAAGTAAACTAGTTGTTTATTAATTGAATTTGAGTATGGGTGGCTGATAGTTCCAGTTGGGATGGTGGGAAAGTCACACTATTCTGTTCTCTTCTCCCATCCCACTCAGGAAGACTGAACAACTAGTTAATGGTTAGGTGAAGTTAGTGTTACCAGAGCCAACATGAAGACTGGAATAAATAGTATATCAGAGCCATGATTAGGTAGAAGAAGGACTAATGAGTGGGAAATGAATCACCAGTCTGCATTTACTCCAAACTGCCTGTGGGATGTGGTCATCTTACTTATCTTACTGTAGACTGATTTTTATTTTTAGTTTAGTTTAGTTTAGTTTTTCGAGACAGGGTTTCTCTGTAGCTTTGTAACCTGTCCTGGAACTAGCTCTTGTAGACCAGGCTGGCCTCGAACTCATAGAAATCCACCTGCCTCTGCCTCCCTAGTGTTGGGGTTAAAGGTGTGCGCCACCACCGCATGGCAGTAGACTGATTTCTTTTTTAAAGTCTGTTTTTAGATTTATTTTATAAAATAAAGAGTTTCACTTGGGCCCGCGCGTGCGTGCGTGCGTGCGTGTGTGTGTACCACATTTCTGCTTGGTGTCTGAGGAGGTAAGAATGAGGTACTAAATCCCTTGGAATTGGTGTTATGGATGGTTTTGAGCCACTATGTGGGTGCTGGGAACCTAATCTGAGTTCTTTGCAAGAGCATCAAGTGTATTTAACTAATGACCTCTCTCTCCAGACCCCATGGAATAAAGTTTTTTTATAATTTTTTATTTTATGTGCATTGATGGTTTTTTGTTTGTTTTAGTTTAGTTTTTTGGTTTTTCGAGAAAGGGTTTCTCTATAGTTTCAGAGCCTGTCCTGGAGCTAGCTCTGTAGACCAGACTGGCCTTGAACACACAGAGATCTGCCTGCCTCTGCTGCCGAAGTGCTGGATTGAAAGGCATGTGCCACTACCACCCTGTGTGCATTAGTGCTTTGCCATGGATGTCAGGTTTCCTACTGGAATTACAGATTGTTATGAGCTGCCACGTGGGTTTTGGGAATTGAACTCGGGTCCTCTGGAAGAGCAGTCAGTGTTCTTAACCTCTAAGCCCTTGTGGCATAAACTTTGTGACTGAGTTGTACAGTTTCATTTTACCTTAAATTCATTCCTGTTGGGTGTGGTGGTACATGCCTAGCACTTGGAAGAGAGAGGCATACAGATTCACTTTAGATTTGTGACTTCAATCACTTCCTGAGTGAGATAGGAAAAGAGAATATAATAGTGCCATATATATGTCTACTATGTCAGCTTTTCCCACCATTGCAGCTGGAACTCACTGTCAACCAGCTAGTTACAAGTAAAAAGACCCTTGTCTGAAAAAGTCTTTAGTCCTCATGACTTGTATTTTATTTTACTTCTATTTTTTAAATGGTTTATTTATTTTTATTTTATGTGCATTGTGTTTTGCCTGCATGTATGTCTGTATGAGGGTGTAGGATCCCCTGAAACTGGAGTTACAGACAGTTGTGAGCTACCATGTGGGTGTTGGGAATTGAGCCTGGGCCCTCTGGAATAACAGCAGTCAGAGTTCTCACCCCCCTCCCCCCAACAGGGTTTCTCTGTAACTTTGGAGCCTGTCCTGGTACTCGCTCTGTAGACCAGGCTGGCCTCAAACTCACAGTGATCTACCTGCCTTTTCCTCCTGAGTGCTGGAATTAAAGGCGTGCACCACCATTACCCGGCCTCAGTCAGTGTTCTTAACAGCTGAACTATCTTTCCAGCTTCATGACTTGTATTTTAATTTGCTTTTTGCCATGTGCAACCATGACTGGCTTTTTATAATTTCTTGTGAAATGAAACCTTGGTGAATTTATGAAATTTCGTTTGTATCAAAATATTAAAATTTCTTTGTACAGCAATTTATTGTGTATAGTTTACATATGGCAGTGAGAGGACAGCTTGTAGCAGTCAATTCTTTCATATGGATTCTGGAGGTCAAACTCAGGTCATCAGAATTGGTAGCAGGGTCTTCAGTCACTGAACCAACTAAAGTGGCCCCAGCATTATTATTTTGTTATAAAACGTGGCCAGCTGTTATTATTTTTCAATTATGGTCATACTTTGGATTTATGACTTAAGCAGATTTCATTCTTATTTTATCTTTCTATATTTTGGAAAGGATTTGTGTGTATATTGGTTTTTCGTTGCTTGACTGTTGTTTTCCTGAGCCACTGCTGACAGAGAGTATGAAGCCCGCTTGGAAAGATACAGTGAGCGCATTTGGACATGTAAGAGCACTGGAAGCAGTCAGCTAACACACAAGGAGGCCTGGGAGGAGGAACAGGAAGTTGCTGAACTGTGAGTAGCAGAAGCCTTGCCCTTTGGCACCATCTTCACTGTGTCAAGAAAGAAGGGTGGGAAGCCGGGCGGTGGTGGCGCATGCCTTTAATCCCAGCACTTGGGAGGCAGAGGCAGGCGGATCTCTGAGTTCGAGACCAGCCTGGTCTACAAGAGCTAGTTCCAGGACAGGCTCCAAAACCACAGAGAAACCCTGTCTCAAAAAAAAAAAACAAAAAACAAAAACATGATCTAGATTAAAAGAATCTGAACACTACCATTCAGCCTCTCTTTCCTCAGAAAATGAAGTTTTAAAACTTGATTGACTGGAGAGAATTAATGGAAAGAGATTGACTTTGTAGGGTTCAGGAAAATCCTCATGGAGTTAAAGAAGTCTGAAGACATCTTGGGAGGATGGTTAAGCTGGGGATGGAGGCTGGAGGCTCATGGGTAGACTACAAGGTAATTGACTGCCTTAAAGCTTGATGTGAGCACTGTACAGATAGATTCCTGTCTTGTAAAGTGTGTTAAGAGACTTGAGGTCCAGTAATTAAAGATGTATGGGTAGCTATGGATAGCAGAGTCAAACAAGGTAATATAAAACCTAACATGAGGCTAAAGGTGCAGCTAGCTCTTTGGGTTCAGTCTCTAGTACTTCAATAAAACACACTTAACACTGGCATTTCTGTGATTGTTCACATAGTTGATCCACTCCTCCCCATTGCTTCAAATAAGTATAAAATGATATGGTTGAAATTGCATGTCTAACACTCGATTAGTTTGGTTTTTATTTTCTCTTAAAAGAATCCAACTGTGAATATCTTTGCATATATAGCAGTTTCGGTCAGTGTCATCCAGTTGCTTTTTTTCTTTCTTCAAGGTTAACCTTATTTTCTGGGTATAGGTGTTTAGCTTGCATGTATGTCTGTATACTATATGAGTGCAGTACCCTTAGAAGCTAGAATCCTTTAGCTTTCAGTTTATTTAGTTTCAGATATTTATGAACTGTAATGGTGCTGGGAATTGATCCTGGGTCCTTTGGAAGAGCAAGAGAGTTCTTAACCACTGAGTTCTTCATCCCTCCAGTTGCCTTTCAAAAGGAATAGGCTGTTATCAGGGTCTAAAGACCACTTTGTAGTGTTCACTGCCATCCTGGCCTTGGTGTGGCACTTACAGTTACTGTCTCTAGATAAATAAGTGAAAGTGGTAGCTCATTGTTTGACTTTGGATTAAAGTCAGGAATTGACTGTGCAGTCTTTCCTAAAGCTTTTTTTTTTCTTTTTTTAGCAGGGGGGTGGTTTCAAGACAGGATTTCTCTTTGTAACAGTCCTAGATGTCTTGGAACTTGCTTTTGTAGACCAGGCTGGTATTGAACTCACAGAGATTCACCTGCCTCTACCTCCCAAGTGCTGGGATTAAAGGAGTGCATCATTATGGCCAGCTTCTTTCACGAAGCTTTTATCTGTAAAGTAAAAATGCTCGATATCTTATGGGATATTACGAGAAATGAATGAACGCATTTGAAACATACATAATCAAGGAATGGAATAAATTTTCACTTGAAAAGAAACACACTACAAAAGCAAAATGATGGGGCCCAGTGTGATGGTGGATGCCTTTAATTCCAGCACTCCAGGAGGCAGAGGCAGACAGGTCTCTGAGTTCAGTGCCGACTGCACAGGTTTTTCTTTGTTTTTTAATTTTTTTAGATTTGTTTATTTTATTTTATGCATATGAGTATTTTTGCCTGCATGCATGTATGTGTACCACATGCTTACTTGGCCCATAAGGAGGTCAGAAGAAGCATCAGATTTCCTAAAACTGGAGTTACAGACAGTTTTCAGTTGTTACTTGTGTGCTGCAGACAGAACTTTGGTCCTTTAAATGTTCTTCCCTGCTAAGCCCTCTCTCCAGCCCTGTGGTGTGGCTTTTAATCTTCATTATTTTCCAAGGCTTTGTATGTATTTGCTGAAGAAATGCTTGTTTTGCAGGGAGGATGTGAAACACATTATATGAAATTCTTGAGTAATAAAAATTTTTCTTAAAAAGAAGTATTTGTTTTGCTGTTACCCTAAAATGCTCTAAAATGTCCCTTTTTAAAAAAAAAAAGTTTAAATTGAATTGCTGGGTAAAGTTTTTGTGTTTTCTTGCTAACCCTGACATTTCTGTAGTTTAAAGGAGGAGTTCCCTAGCTGGTACGAGAAACTTGTTCTGGAAATGGTTCACCACAACACAGCGTCCTTAGAGAAGTTAGTGGACTCCGCCTGGCTGGAGATCATGACCAAATATGCCGTGGGAGAGGAGTGTGACTTTGAGGTAAGTACCTGCATTCTTACTTTTTTAAATTTCTTTTTCTTTTTCTTTTTTTTTTTTTTTTTTTTTTGAGACAGGGTTTCTCTGTGTAACAGTTCTTGACTAACCTGGAACTCACTTTGTAGACCAGGCTGGCCTCAAACTCACAGAGATCTGTCTGCCTCTCCTCTGAGTACTGGGATTAAAAGTATATGTCATTACCACCCAGCTGGAAAACTTTTTAAAAGAATATTATCTATCTATCTATCTATCTATCTATCTATCTATCTATCTATCTATCTATCTATCTATCTATCTATCTATCTGACATCTCTGGCTGTCCTGGAACTTGCTTTGTAGACTAGGCTGGCCTCAAACTCTAAAAGAACTTTTACTAAGTTTTTATTATTGTTTTGACTTAGAATGTTACTATGCAGCCCAGGCTGCCCTCTGAGTTGTGGGCATCTTCACACACAGCCTCCCCAGTATTGGTATTATAGATGAAGTGTGTGCACATATGCTTTCTTATTGTCTTTTCTTTCCCTTTCTTTTAAGCAGTGTGACAGATTATTTTAACATAACTTTTCATTTTATTTATTTATTTACTTATTTATTTATTTATTGATGTTTATACATGGATACGTACTCCTGTACTACAGTACATGTGTGGAGGTCAGAGAATAGCCTGTTGGAGTTGGTTTTCAACTTGTAATACTCAGGTTGTCAGGTTTGTTGGCATGTGCCCTTATTATTGAACCATCTTGTCAGCATGAACGTAGATTTATTAAGAAAAGGTGAGAAAGAAATTCAGTGAGTGGAAGTGGCTCTGAAGGGAGAAATATCCAGGAAATGCTTTTCTAAGTAGGAAAAGAAAAATTTCCAGAAACAAAAATAAAGCAACCCCTTACTTTGCATGCTATTGCCTAAATGTTACCTTAAATAGCTTCCTGTCTTCGCAAACTAAGAATGTGATTGGTGGGCTTTTTTTCTTGTTTGTCAAGACAGGGTTTCTCTGTTGCTTTGGGGCCTGTCCTGGAACTCAGTCTGTAGACCAGGTTGGCCTCGAACTCAAAGATCCATCTGTCTCTGCTTCTCGAGTGCTGGGGTTAAAGGTGTGCGCCATCACCACCCAGCTGTTGTTGTTGTTTTTTTTTTTAAGTGGCAGGCTGTCAGCTCAGTGGCATAATGTGCTGTAGTAGCCAGTAGGTAATGAGGTCAACATTCAGTTCATATAAGTCTGTCTGATACCTCACTCTGCTTGTACTTAATTTCATTAATGTATTTAATGAATTTACTCTTGTTCAGTATATTTTATTTATTACATTTGTTTTTGTTTTTTCAAAACAGGGTAGCTTTGGAGCCTGTCCTTGGAACTTGCTCTGTAGATCAGGCTGGCCTCAAACTCACAGAGATCTGCCTGCCTCTGCCTTCTGGGTGCTGACATGTACCAATGCCACCTGGCTATATTTTTATTTTTAATGTCTGAGATTATCACTAGTTTTGTTTATTGGTTGGTTTGGTTTTGAGACAGTTTCACTCTATATGCTAGGCAAGCCGTAAAGTTTAAGCGATTCTCTTGTCTCAGTCTCTTTGTAGTTGTTTTTGAGATGGGGTCTCTCTACATAACCCTACCAGTTCTGGAATTGACTGTGTAGACCAGACGGCTTCCAACTCAGAGATCTGCCTTCCTCTACCAAGTGCTATGATTGCATGCTATATAAACCTGGCTTACTAGTGAGTCTTAATCACATTCCTGATACCAGTCATATTTTGACAAAAAACAGATGGTAGACTTGAATGGTGTAATTGAATTGGGTTTAGTAAAGGGATTTTTGAGATAGGGCAGCAGTTTGATCTAGCACAAACAATACTTCACAAGAAGTCCTGGTTGCTAAAAGCAGTAAGTAGATTGTCATTTCTAAACAAACCTCACAGAAACAAAGGAAGGCAGTGGGTCTAAAAAGTAGAAATGAATTGGGTGGTGGTGACACATGCTTTTAATCCCAGTACTGAGGATCAGAGGTAAGCAGATCCCTTGAGTTCAAGGCCAGCATGGTCTACAGAGTGAGTTCCAGTACAGGTAGGCTACACAGGGAAACCCTGCCTCAAAACAAACAAAAAGTAAGAAAGAGTAGTTATAGTTGTTAAGCATAATTTAGTGATCTGATCTAGCTAACTTGCTTAGAATTTGTCCAGGGGAATATACCAGAGATAAACTCACCTCACTTCTCCCATGTCTGCTTACCTCTGCTTTTTGTGGCTGACATCAAAATCTAGTTGACATGGAAACCCAAAACAGCCCTTGCCAGGTTGAAAAGAAAGAGATGACATAAAAGCAGCAAAAGAAAGAAAAACAAAAAAACAACTAAAGTATCAAAAAGAAAAGCATTGGAGGGCTGGAGAGATGGCTCAGTGGTTAAGAGCATTGCCTGCTCTTCCAAAGGTCCTGAGTTCAATTCCCAGCAACCACATGGTGGCTCACAACCATCTGTTATGAGGTCTGGTGCCCTCTTCTGGCCTGCAGACATACACACAGACAGAATATTGTATACATAATAAATAAATAAATA